AGTATAAAGGAGCAAACAAATGATTCGACGAAGTGCACTAATACCATATAACGGAAAACTCTTCTTTCTTATTATTATTGAAGACATATATATACACTCTCAATCTCTATAGATTAGGAATAACTCTAAGAGAAAGATCTTGTAATTAGATATCCTTTAATTATGTTTTCTACAATTAAACTTCCTAATTACAACTTTCCATAACAAATACAAAAACACATCATTAGCTAATTTTTTATATACAAAGATATTTTTTAATTCTGTAGCTATAAGATGGTTTTCATCACTAAATTGGAACTTACACAATAATTTAGATATGACATGTAAGAAATATTGATGTCTGCTAAATATGTAATGCTTGAAAAGAATTAATGAATGCTAATATAGGAGTGTAATTAACAAATGAAAATTATCATATGTGCTAATGTATTTCTTTTATTAATAATGTTATTAATTTTTCTTTTGTCATTGTTAAATTTCTTTTGCAAAGTATAGGTATATGACATTGCAATCCACCTTGCCTTCAGTAAAAATACAAAAAATTATTTATTTCATACTAATAATTTATAAAATATAATATTGTTCACATGACGTGTTGTGTCTTCTCGTTTACAGATATATCGTGTTGTTATTGTATTGCATGATATCGCCAACTCTTTGTCTGAGACTCAAAAAGGTAATAAAAAAAATACTCAATCACAAGTCGGGTGATGATATATCATCCCCAAGAGGAATCCCAAATAGAAAATAATCAATGGTAGAGAAAATTTACAAAAGAAACAACAATGTCCTTATATCCGAAATCAAAGTTGGATGTGCCTCCTTTATGGGAAGTCAAAATTATAATTCATTTGCATTATCATATATCTTGGACTACTCTAAGAAATTGAATGCTGACATGCTCAACAAGTAAAAAGAGAGAAGTAAGAAAACTATGGGAAGTAAATGCAACAAAAATGCAATATAACTCAAGAACAATAATTCAAAAGAGCTAAGGGCATAAAACATAGTATGACAATCAATGTCACCATATCCCAAGCATCGCGCAAGGTGAAGCGGTCAAAGAAAAAATTTATTGGCCCCACCATCATTACTCAAAATTCAAAATTGTCACTCAAACTAAGCAGGAAAAATCAAAATAAGTATTTTATTATCCAACAATTTCATATTTACTCTTTCATCACACATTGCCATTAATTACATGAGAAATTTATCCAAAACTCCAAAATACAAGAATAACTCCTCCCACGAGAATCATCACAAATACAAAAGACAATGCATAGGAAATTGTCCCGATGAGCAGAACAATAAAGCATGATCGCAAACATGGTACAAAGAAAAACATGAACCAAGACTAGTGGGTTGTTTGTAATAATTTTTTTTTCTTTATTATTATTATTATTATTATTATTATTATTTTTGTTGTTGTTATTGTTCTTAAAAAATAGAAAAATAAAATAAAAAACATGTTTTTTTTTTTTGACAATTTTTGTTTGTTTTATTATATAAATTTTAAAAATATATGAATTCGGTATTTTAAAAACAAAAAGAAAAAATAGTTTTATCTTTTTTTTAAACCATGTTTCCAATGAGGAATGCCTCGGACCTATTGTGTGATGGAAAAGTACCGCTTTGACTTGAAGAAGAAAATTATAACATGGTGTTGAGAGCCACAATGCTTTATAACATAAAATGTTGGCCTTTAAAAGAGAAGCATAAAACAAAATTAAGTGTTGCTGAGATGAGCATGCTTTGGTGGATGAGTGGCTAGCCACTTAGAGACAATGCGAAACGAATCTGTCTGTGAAATAGTTGGTTTAGCTCCAATGGCAGACAAGATTAGAGAGAGTCGTCTCAGATGGTTTGGTCACATTAAACGTCAACCATCAAATAATCCAGTAAGGAGAGTAAATGTTTTATATTCGACCTATGTTAAGAAAGGCAGAGATAGAACTAAAAAATCTTGGGCATATTGTATAAAAAATGATCTTAATTTATTAGAATTAAATGAAAATATGACAATCAATAGAACTCAATGGAGAAAAAAAATTTAAATAGTCAACCCCACTTAGTGGGATAAAAGCTTGTTGTTATTTCTATTGTTAAACCATATTCCCCGAACGTCGATCCAACCAATATATCCAATTTCAAGCTTTCAAACCCTTCCATCTTCGACCCGTTCATTTAGGGCAATGCTTCCTTCTTCACCCCTTCCATTCTCAGAAACGATGCCACCCCTTCTTCCCTCCAGCGAATTTCATAGTTAGGGCAATTCTCCCTCTCTCACCCTTTGCCTCTTCAGCTCAGTGACACTGAGTTGTTCTTCTATCAGTGTTTCTCCTATAGCTATAGATCATGACAAAGTTTCTTTCTTATCCAGATATATCATGAACACTTAAGTTTGTTGGTATATTCAAAACCAAATTGTTTTCCAGATCTTTTGGATTGTTCATTGTCGTGTTGTTATTTGCATTACTAGAATTATAGGCTCTTCAGTAATCTTACAGTCAAGATATCTTTCTCTCGAACATGATGCTGCCCAGGCCCCTAGATCCAAATCCTTGGTTCAGCTGAAATGCAAATATAGCTAGTGGTCATAGCAAAATAAGTTGAAAAACATGCAAATAAGGATACAAAGTTAATTTGTCTGCAGCTAAGGTCGATGGAGTTGTTGTCTTGCATTGTTTTGGCCTAAAGATTTTTTTCATATTGATGCTAAAGTTATTTAGTCCCTTACTCCTTATGTGAATACAATAAATATACAACTCTCTAACCATCACCAGATTTTGAACCTGTTATTTGATTACCTACTACAAGTTTGTGCCTATATTAGACTACCAAACATGTTTTTTGTTTTCTTTTTAAATTCAAAAATTCATTAGACTTGCAAACATGATTTTTGTTTTATGTTAAAGCATAAACAAAAAAAAAAAATTGAATTAAAAAGATGGTTCCAAAATGCCCCCGAGATTTCAAAAATAGCAAGAGTTATTTCATCTCAAAAAAGAGTAGTAAAGATTTCGTCATCAAGAAAATGTTCCATCCTCAAAAACAGAAAATAAGAAAAACAAAGGAAAAAAAACAGATAATTAATCACCTGTCCTGTCCCTAGTTGCCAGAAGACCGCCATAGGTTTGTCAACATGATTGCTATTAAGTTCTGAATGAAGAGGGTGTCTTGGAGGTGTACATATTGGCATCATCCACTCACACATCATGAGGTTCTATGCATTTGTAATTGATGTCCTATCAATAATTCACAACAAAAATGCTGCCTTGGAACTTTGATGAAGCAGCTCGAATGGAGGTGCATCGGTGAGATAAGGCTCCATGACACAAGATAGTAACAACTTATCCAAACCTGGATGTTATTCATATTATTGGGCATAATCGTCAACATCATCAAATCAGTCAATGCTCAAAGGTTTAAAGGAGTTAAAATTTGACTTGATTAGCCAACCTAACTCAATTCGACTTGAAAAAAAAAAATTTGGATAGACCTGTTTAATCTTTAAGTCGGGTTTTGAGTCTAGAATTCTAACTCATTTAATTTTTTGGATTGGGCGAACCGACCCGCCAACCCAAAATTGATCAATCAATCCAATTTTTTACCTGAATATTAGTTATGCCTTATGTTAAATTGGTCATGCAGGTGGCTCGAGATTATGTTAGAATTTCTAACCGTTTTAATATGAGACGGAGCCTCACTCTCCTCATAGATGGCATTTCCCTTAGATACATATCTAATGACCCTAACAGGCACAAGACGCATTGTTTCTAACACCTGAAGAGGAAGTATGTCAAATGGAGCCTTGCTTATTCTGTTTTTGAAAACACCCTACGCAAAACACAAATTCCTGATCCTTAAGTAACATGATCCTAAACTCAGTACGGTTTGGGGTTTAGGGGGTTCACTCAAAGACCACTAAACCATGGTTCCTAAGTAGTGCAGCACATTTGGGTTTGAAGATGTGAGATTGCTAGAAAACCATAACATCCTTTGACTCAAATTAAACTCAACGAACCAACTAAAGAGCCAAACTCATCTAAAGTCAAGCTAGCACAAGATCGGAGACAAACATATAAGCATGCATGTATGAATATACATGTATGTATATATCTAGCTCTAAATTAATAAATATGTGTATATGATGACTAAAAGAAATAATAACAAATAGAAAAATTATAAAAGCCTATACTTTCTCTGGATAATATTGTAGTGTTTAAGTAAATTAACATTAAACAGACATATTGCATTTGATAGACAATAATGTTATCTAAGTAACAATATCTGCTAAAAAACACTGCTTTGTACATAATGAAAAACCAAACTGTCCTTCACCTCAGTTACATAAATCAATGGTAAGATAAATGCTGCTACAGTAGCTTCAATGACAATACTTGTAATCTAGTAAAAAAATTTATAAAGTGTTCCAAGTAATGTGGCAAATGCGTACAATAATCAATAGACTAAAATTTAATCGTGCCGTACAAATTTTATAAAGTGTTCCAAGTAATGTGGCAAATGCATACAATAATCAATAGACTAAAATTTAATCGTGCCGTGATGGAGAAAAATTGTTAAAATGAAAAAACATTCTTCAAGCGGGCTTATCCTAAAGATAAAAGGTATGTGCACTCAACTATTTATCCATCATCATAACATTGTATGTCATTTTCTAACTTTTAATGCAGCTGAACAGCCCAGCAACTTGAATATTCCTCATTAATACTTATAGGTACAATTCATTAGAAAGATATAGTTATTGAACATAAGTAATGCAAAATTTTAATATGAATTCCCTTCACCTTACAGCAGTTAGGTTAGGCTACATGAAAAGCAAATATAAAAACCTCTCGTTAACTGGTTCCTTCTGCTAAATAATTTCAATTATTTGATCAGCTTTTAGCAAAATTAAATATTGTTGAAACTGGAGAGCTTGTGTTTCATTTCAAATAGTAGATGAAAAAATAGCTCTAAAATGGAATTAAAATCGTGAATTCTTCATAAGCACTACAACGCACATCATCTTAAAATATGTCGGGACCTTCTACTTGAACAGAATGATTCAAAACTGTTCTGCAAAATATAATTTATACAGAGTGTTCAAAATTAATAACCTGATACAAGGAATGGATTAAGAAAAGTACCGAGACCCTGAAAGTACAATCATTGTTACCTTACAACTTCATTGGCTGCAAATCTAAATTGATTTTATGGAAAATAATTCATCAAATGCTCATGCACTACTAGGAGCATCATTACCACCTGCTGGTTTACGATTTAAATAACGGATAACAGCATCTTCAACCCTATTCATCAGAAACAAGATCATATATTTAGTTTATGCATAAAAAGAGCATGAATTTTATCTTCATAGCTTGAGGAAAAGCATACCATGGTTGATTGTAGAAGTCAGCACGGCGTTCCTTCTCAGCATTACGACTTGCTTCCCCAGCAACAAGCTTCAAGTCCCTACTTTGAGAAGCAATTAGAGCATTTATGAACTCCACCGGTGACTGGCTAAAACCAAGGAAAAATGCTCTCCTTCGTCGATGCTCATGAATTTTCTTAATTGAAGCACAAATCACTTCATCACAAGCCTCAATTTCTTTGTGCTTCTCTGTATTTGCAAGAAAGGAAGACATTTCCTTCTGCAATGGGAAAGGAATATCCACCAAAACATCATAGCAAGCATGACCTGCAGGGCAATTCCCAGATAGCCGAATCCTGTGATCTAAATGTATGGGCTGCGGTGGTGAAAGGTGATGAGAGATCTTCTGTGAAACCAATGAAAACTTCATCTTATCATCTCCAAATACCTTCTTCAATGGTGGATCACAGGAGAAGAATGAAGGATCACTAGGGTTTTGCAGCTTCTTAGCCTTAACATAGTTCCATATCCCTGCTATAATTCTAGATCTAGTGTCCACCTCAATGCCAAGAACCTCTATCAATGGAGGAGATAACTTGAATTTCTCCGGATTATAACTCATTTCAAGCCGTATATTCACATTGAATTCCTTGTCCCCTTTCCTCTTAACCTCAAAACCCTCATGAGGAGCAGGGGACCTTGCATTCTCCCAAATAATTGTTGGATTCTCTGGGTAAAGCATGGGATCTAAACCAATAGTAACTCTCTTAAAAAAGGATGAGAACTTTGGGAATGCAGGGTTTGGATTAGCCAAAGCCTCTGAAGAATTGGGATCAACCCCATCCTCTAGAATCCTTCCAATGATCTTGAGAGACCAAGAAGGCGGCTCAGCATTCTTGGGATCCAAACCCAACCTATTCTGATTCGAAAAAGTATTGAAAACATAAATCCTAAGGGTTTTCTGCAATGTAGGTGGGCTTTTCAAGGATTCCTGAATATCAACCTTCTTCCTTGCAAGGGCAGCATCAATCCGTGCCTCAAATTCAAGCAGCTGGGTATAGAGAGCCGATTCTGGCAGCAGCGCCGCGACTCTATCGGGTAAATGCTTCTCAGGTAGCTTCCTTTTCTTACGGCGAATGGCTGGAGCCAGTTCTGCAGACTTGAAGCTCTGAACAGCAGCGGTGGATGATGCAGGCAGTGCAGGACGAGGTGGAGGCTTTTGAGGGGGCCTTTTGGGACCGCCAGAGAGTGCAGGGGATGAGGCAGAGGCACCGGGACCGAGCATGGATGCCTGAGACTGGGAGGCAAGGTGGGATTGCAGGGATTGTGGCTGGAAAAAGTTTTGGAAAGGGGAGGCTGAAGGGGGTTGGGGTTGGGGAGGTGGGCGGAGATGGGGAAGCGGAGTTGCAGGAGAAGAGGACATGCCAACGGCAAGTGGTGAACCGGCGATGGGTCGAGTAAGGTTGGTGTTGTTGAGATTGTTTGACGACATGGAGGGTAAAGAGTTGATTTGAGAACCCTAGAAGCTGGTGGAAGGATTATGGAAGGGCGGTTCAAAACCCTAAATATCGATCTAGGGAGATAACTGCTCAAAAACTACCTAATTTACAAGGAAGTGGAGAAGTAAGCGAATAGAAAGGGAGAGAGCTCACCTTCAAGGAGGAAGTGCAGATTTCTTCGGGGAGAGTCTGGCTCTTCGCATCTGGAGGGCAGTGCGAGCCGAGAAGAGCAGTCGTGGACGACAGGGTTTGGACTGGACCGCCTCCTATAATGGTCGCATTTTCTGCTCGGGCTTGACCGGCTTCGGTGTTGGGCTGTGAATTAGCTCGAAGCTTACTCGAAGACTCTGTCCGGATCAAAATGGGCGAAGTCATAAGCTAAGAGTTTGGATAAAATAATTTTCCAACAGTAATAGTGTTTGTAGGACAATTTAATAAATTTAGCTCCAAGATTATTAAATATTTGAAAATTGATTTGAATTTTGGCTCGAAAATCTAAGCAAATTGAACTACGAGCTAAAATTTTAGACTGAATTTGAGCCGGTTCTAACTCGCTCTAAATCAAATCGTTAACAGTTATACTTGCGTGTAGCAGGACCTTTGGGGTACATCTAGCGAGCCATTTCATATTCTTTTGGCTTTTTGTATGTGTTTAACTTTTTATTAAAATTATAAGGAGAATTTACACATAATGCTCGAAAATTTTATAATTACATATTAAGCACCTAATACTTTTTATTTACACATAACACGTAAATCCTCTCCTCCTAAATTTCACAAAATATCTCAAAAAAATCTAAGGCTCAGAGGGGTCGAGTGCATGAGCTTGAGTGAGAAATATTCCTCAACTCAACATAGTGAGTTATCATCCTGAGGCTTTGCAAGTTCAATTGCAAGGAAAAGAAATTGCTAAGCCTGAAATGGCTACTGTTACTAGATCGAATAAGGGAAAGATTGTTGTTGATGAAATTTAACACGTTAATTTGGAATATTAGAGGCATAGCAAAATCTTGTGCTTCTAATAGGCTTCATAATTTTATTCCTGCTTATAATTTAAATTTTTTTAGCAATCTTGAGTCTATGGTTGTGTTACTGTTAATAAAGATGTTTATATGCAAAGATTTGGTGATTTCAAAGCTTTTGCTAATATAAATAATAAAATTTGGTTTCTATGGAAAGATTTTTTGAAGATTGATATTCTTATCAATCATTCTCAATTTTTGCATCTTCGTATTCATTATTCTCAAGATTCTTTTCTTTTGCCTGTCATTTATGAGGGTTGTACTAAACAAGCTCGGGCTGAGCTTTGGAATTTGCTTAAATTTATTAATCCTTCTAATGATGATTGACTTATGGGAGGTGATTTCAATATTATTTCTTCTGCTATTGAAAATAAAGGAGGAATCACTCCTAACTTTAAGAGTATTGATGAATTCCATAATACTCTGATGGATGTGGGGCTTTATGATTTGGGGTTTCAAGGAAACCCTTTTACTTGGCATAGAGGAAATGTTTTTGAAAGGTTTGACATATATGTTGCAAATACTAATTGGATAAATAAATTCTCTTTGCATAATGTTTCTCACTTAGCTATTGATGCTTCTGATCATGCTCCTATTCTTTTAAAAATACAGAATAATTCTTATATCATTCATTACCAATTCAAATTTTATAATATGTGGATTCTTCATGATAATTTTAAGCAGTTCCTTAAAGATAACTGGAAAATTCAGGTTTCTGGCTCTTCCGGTCATAAGCTTTTGGTTTTGCACAAGAATCTTGCCAAAGCTCTTAAGAGATGGAATTGGGATGTTTTTAGGCATCTTCAAAAAGCATTGAGGCTCTTGAAGAAAATGTTAAAGGTTTGGAAACTGATTATGCTAATAATAATATTGATTGGCATGTTTTGTTTCAAGGTCAGAAATAGTTGAATGATGCTATTAATATAGAAGAAAGCTTTTAAGCTCAAAAATCTGCTCAGACTCATTTCTTAAATGGAGACAGAAATACGGTCTACTTTCATGCCAATATTAAGAACCGTCAAAATGCTAATTTTATTTCAAGGATTGTTGGTACAGATGATATTGTTTTCCATAATCTTAATGATATTGCTAATAATAGTATTTATTATTTTTCTAATGTTTTCCAAAGCAATGGTGATTCCCTCACCCCTATTGATCGTAATCTTTATAATTGAGATGTTACTATTAATAATGCTTTGCTTACCGGTATTCCTAGTAGTGTTGAAATTAAGGAAATTATTGATCTTATGGAAACGGGCAAAGCCGCTGGTCTGGATGGTTTCACAGCCGAGTTCTATAAACATGGGTGGGACATTATTCATACTAAAGTTGTTGATACTATTCAAGACTTTTTTAGAGGAAAGGATTTGTCGAGATATTTTAAATTCTCTAATATTGTGCTAATTCCCAAGGTGTGTGATGCTAATACTTGGGATGTTTTTTGACCTATTAGCTTGAATATTGTTCTGTCTAAGGTTATATCAAAAATTTTGGTCAAAAGATTGCAACCAATTCTTAATGATATTATTAGCATGAATCAATCTGTTTTTTTTTTTTTTTGAAATGCTGGAATATCTGTGATAATGCTCTTATAGTACAAGAGCTTCTCTTGGATATTGATAAAAAAAACTGTGGGAATGTCATCTTCAAAATGGACATTAAAAAAGCTTTTGACACTATTCGTTGAGATTTCATTATTGATATCCTTAAAGTTATTGGTTTTAATAATGTTTTCTATAAGCTAATTTATAGATTACTCAATGACAACTTTTACTCTCTTCTTATTAATGGTACTAAACATGATTTTTTTTCAAAGTTTCAAAGGGTATCAAGCACAGAGACGTATCAAGCAGGGAGATCCTCTATCTCCTTATCTCTTTATTATTGCTTTTAATTATTTATCTAGATGCTTGAATGATTTATTTACTAGATATCCTAGTTTGAATTATAATCATAAAGGCAAATTGTGCCTTTTGCATTTGTGTTATGCTGATGACTTGATTATCTTTACCAATGCTAATAAACATTCCACTGGCACTAGATTTTAAATTTTTGGAATATTTCTGGATTGCTCTTTAATACTTCTAAATGTTCTTTCTATTGTTCGAAAAATATCAATGTTTCTAAAAGGAATTGGATTATGGATTTTATTGGTAGTAATAAAGCTTCTTTACCTTTGACTTATATGGGTTTTCATATGGATAAGAGTAAAAAGAGAAGTGCTCTTTTTTTGAGTTTTTTTGATAAAATCGAGAATAATATTTTATAATGGGAAAATAAGTTTCTTTCGTTTAGTGGGAGGGTAACTCTTCTTAAAAGTGTTCTTATTTCTCTCCCTTTTTATACTCTTCAAGTTATGAATATGCCTTTGAATTTTATTATGAAGATTGAAAATCTTTTTATAAGTTTTTGTGGGAAGGCTAAGGTGATTCTGAAATCCATTGGAAGAGTTGGAATAAGCTTTGTAAACCTACAGAGAAAGGTGGTCTTGGTTTTAGAAGCTGTGGTCTTGATTTTAGAAGCTTAAATGTTTCTATTAAGACCAAATTTATGAAATTATGATATCGTTTTCATTAGATTAATTTTATTTGGGCTTCTTTGATGCATTTTAAATATTGCTCTAATTATAATCCTATGACTATTACCTATAATAAAACTGATTCTTTTATTTGGCATGAAATGCTTAAAGTTGCTAGAAATAATGATGATTTAATTTGTTGGGACATTGGTAAAGGTGATTGTTTCGCTTGGTATGATGATTGGTTGGGCAAAGGGGCTCTTACAGACGTTTATGGTGGTCCTGAGACTATTAATACCAAGATTAAAGACCTTTGGTCTGATAGTAATTGGTGCTTAAGTGAACTTTTGAATAAGGTTCATTATGATGATGCTCATTTTATTGCTTCTATTCCTAGTGATTAGAATAAGCCTGATGTGCCAAAAATTAAAAGCAAATTGGGGGACTCTTATGCTAAGTGTTTTGCTAACTCCTTTTAAAACTTTCAAGGTTTAAATCTGAAATGGATTTGGAATCCTTAGATTAAACCTTCCATCTCTTTTTTTTGTTTGTTACATGATATCATTTCTAGTGATGATATTCTTAAGATTAAAGGTTTAAGTATGCATTCATGTTTTGTGTTATGTCGTGATAATGAGGAAGCTATTAATCATATTTTTATTAAGTGTCATTTTACTACTGCTATTTAGAATGATATTATTATGAAGTTGCAGTTAACCAGGTTCAACAAGAATTTGTTTCTATATAACAATATTTCTGATGTTTTCAATGCTCGAAAGCTTCTTGGTCATGGTTTTTTTACTGCTAGACCTATTGTTATTATTTGGTTTATATGGCTTGCTAAAAATGATAGTAAATTCAACAATATTGTTCCCAACGTGCATCATACTATTTGTATGGTTTTTAATTATTTGTATAAATGATTAAAGTTATTGACTGTAACAACAAGATTTCGGGTAATATGAAGAAGTTGATGCAGTATTTGGATATTCTTATTTTTGTGCATTCTTGTTTCTTTGCACAATAAGATGTTTTATAATGTTAAGTGGCATAAACTGTGGATGCCTTTTATTAAAATTAATGTAGATGGTTGTTGGAATGCTTTATCTGTTAGTGTAGGTGTAGTTTGCAGAGATTCTTTCAGATAGGAGGACGGCTCTATTATTTGTTGGTTCTGATTCTTTACTAGTTCTCAGTAGGTGTGTTTTCTGATTCTCCTCTAGTTGCTGAAGCTGATGCTTTAGTCTTTGGTCTCAGGTGGCTATTTATTATGGTTAAAAATATATTATTATGGAAACTGATTCCTTGATTCTATGGAAGTGTTGTCAATTACAGATTGATTATCATTGGAGTATTAATATGCAGATGAGAAAGATTATTGCTCTATCCAAGCATTTGATTATCTAGTGGTCTCATACTAAGCGAGAAGGTAACAAGGTTGCTCATTGGCCGGCTAAATATGGATTAGTTGAATGGTGATTTGGTTTCTAAGATTGTTCCTCACAATCTTTTGTTGGTAGCTTTAAAAGATTTTGATTAGTTTTTGAGTCCCTTTAGATGTTTATATGCTTTGGTGTACTTTTTTATTTTTGTTTGGTTTATCTGTTTTGGTGTACTTTTTTTTAATTTTTTGTTTGGTTTTGTGTGTTTGAATCATTGTTGTGTTTCTGGGGTGGGTGAGTTATTTTTTCATGTTGGAGAGAGGTTCTTTTTTATTTTCTTTTGTGTGATTGTAGGGTGTTGGGACCTCTTTCC